TGTGTTTACATGCGGCAAGCGGTGGCGCAGCGAGTTAGCGCGCTGTACTACGAACCAGGAGGCCTGTAGTGGATTCCCAGCCGAGGCCAACATCAGTGGGGAGTGATAGTGATATCATAAACAGGTCTGGGTATCCACAGGGTCAACTCAGCCGTAAAATTAATACTCAGTGTGGGGTATTAGCCATCAGTAGTGGGGAGACAATGACAGCCAGGAGTGGTTCTCACCACAACGACCCCATCGTCCGCCGTGCCAGCCTTAAGAGGTGCTCGCTAACGGCGCTCGCCCTAACAGTGTACGACATTTGCGAGTGCGGCGTTGAGTTTCTGTACCGTCACTGAGCAGAGATTTGGTTCCTCCCGCCGTGACACCTTGGGTTGCATTGAGCGTCGTTGACGTCAGGTTGTCCAGTAAGGTGGTGCTCAGGGCGGAACTCGAACTCGCCGCGCCGTGGTCGGCGGTTGTCTGGAGCGTAACGTTGCTTGTGGTTCCGCTGGTGTTACCCCCAGCTGGCGCCGCGGTCGTATTCATCCTGGCAGCCGAAGTTGGTCGGGTCGCGTTCGAACCTGAGAAGTCAAGGAACGAAGTTAACAGCCGCCGGATTTTTTGTTGGGAGGCTCAGCCGGGACGCTTGGGTGTCAGGCTCCAGTGAGTTCTCAACAGCCACGCCCACTGAACCGGCAGCGCCGCCCACTCCAAAAAAATGTATTAAGAACATTCGACTGACAAACTTTCAGAGATATGAACAAACCTGATCCGTATGTCCAGTTGCCTGTTCGGACCGAGAGTCGTAAGTTCAACCGCCGCGCAATAGATGGCGGCGGTGGCATCTACATCTGCAGAACGTGAAGAACCAGTGGCATCTAGATCTGCAGAACGTGAAGAACCAGTGGCATCTACATCTGCAGAACGTGAAGCGCATCTACATCTGCAGAACGTGAAGAACCAGTGGCATCTACATCTGTAGAACGTGAAGAACCAGTGGCATCTACATCTGCAGAACGTGAAGAACCAGTGGCATCTACATCTGTAAAACGTGACGAACCAGTGGCATCTACATCTGCAAAACGTGAAGAACCAGTGGCATCTACATCTACAGCAGATTATACAACTTTTGAAGCCATTCGCCGTGTTTAGTGTACATGCCGTACACCATGTTTGGAATCGACGGGAATAAAGTTGGATTTAGGAACAAATCGGCTTACGAACAGATCTCTGGAACCTAACTCGTTCATAAGTAGAGGAGTGCCTGTACTGCTGTCTCCTGGCTTCCTCGCAGCTAACCCAGTGGTGGATCGGGAGATTCACAAAGCCGCGCTGTTCCACACGGTTCCACAAGGTCCTTTTGCACCTAATTGCCAGGCTACGGGCGTGTCTTCCACCGCCGCAAGTTAATGCGATAATCAGTGTCGTATGCATGTATGTACTTTTCACTTCATTTCGCACCGTACGTGGCCAACCGCACTAATCGGAGGTGCGGCATTCATGGCATCTCCTTCATTAGGTCGTGATGTCACTCATGAGGTGGCGCTCATCTCAAGCGGGCATCGTGAACACCGTCAGCCATGGTCAATTCACTACTGGATGAAGGTCTCTGCAAGCAGTCGCAAAACTCTTTCTAAATTAAAAACTAATATCTTCGGAACTTTTTCGTTTAGTTTGCTGTCCTTCCCCCGCACCTCCAATTAGCACGGTTGGCTGCGTACGGTGCAAAATAAGTTCAACGTGCGTACGTAACGTATGCACGGTCCTGCGATGTATCACAGGAATCCGCCCGGCCAGCTAGCGCATGCACACGTTAGGATTTCATAGGTCCATCCCCTCGGCGGCCGCCCCATCTGGACGTGTCCCATCCCCTGGCTGCCACTCCATCTTCGTCATTGACCATCTCCCATTGTCCCCTTCTAGCGACCAGCGTCCTGCCCAAGCCCCGCGCTTACTTTAGTGAACGCGTACGCACACCCAACTCGATATGTTTATTCTCAATGCGTGCATGTGTGTTTGCGCGCGTGGAAATACGCACGGTGTGCCAATAATTACCGCAGAGTGTATTTAAACTGCCACATTGAAACCACCCCTTGGGGGGACACAGCATTCAATTACAAATACAGTATTCCATACGTGCACGAACACAAAACAGAAGCGGAGGACCGTAGAGAGCGCATGTAAATCTCACAGTCGCTCCACTGCTAGACGAGGGCCTCCCTGACGGCGCGTCGGTCAAGGGTGTCGCTTGACCGTACTTCACCGCGCTGGTCGGTTGCGGTCTGGTGACGTTAGCCGCGGCTGGGTATCAAGCTCGATGTCTCTGTGGTGTCGGGGATTGTTGTGGGCATCCCATGAATTCACTCGGATTAAAGTGATCGCCTTAACAGACAGACAAAAGCAGACGGGCATGGTTCTGACCACACCGGCATTAATCAAAGACGAGGCTATGATGGGAATCCTCCGTTCTTTTGAACGGGCAACTTGAGCAAAGCTTTGCGATGTTATCATTCTGCACTGTACAGTGTTTTCTTGTCGCGGGGCTGAGCGAGTACGATTGTTTTCCATCTGCGTCGACCGATAGACAGACAGCCGGCCCTCGTGAGTGCCCTGAGTGCTGCTGGTTGTGGCTCCTGCTACTGCTGCTGATACAACACGGGCCGGCGTTGCTCCAAACAATCGGCCTCTTTGTCAGCGGACACCAAATGAGCGCTCGCGCGCACGATGCTGCCCGGCATTCTCACGGAGTACTGCATCATCATCATCGACGTCGTCCTTCAGAGTTGAACCGAAGCTCCCAAAAACCCCGAGCGCCCAGACTCGTTAAACACACACACACACACAAATAAAGAGACCCCGTATAGCCTTAACAGACTGTTGGGGCAAGTGCTGTCAGCGAGCACCTATGAAGGCTGGAACGGCGCACGAGGGGTGTGTGGCCGGCACCACGCCCGACCACCTTTGTCTCCCCACTGACGATGTTTACTACTCATTTGAGGCTGAGTCGACCCAGGGGAGGCCCAGGACCGGTTCAGATTATCGTCACTGGTGTCGGTGGCCGTGAGCAGGAATCGAACCCGGGTCCGCGAAAGCTCGTGGCGCAGCGCGCTAACTGTTACGCCACCGCTTACCCCACGAACACACGCCACATGCAGCAGCAGCAGCAGCAGTAGGGCTCGTGTGCTGTGGTAAACTCTGCTGTGTTTTGCCTTTGCTTTTCAAATGCATCGTCTGCAGTGAACAGAAGTTCAACATAAGCACTACTGCGAAAACCATTTATTTAAATTAAACTTTTTTGTTTGTTTTATTTTAAGCAGGCAAGGCCCCACTGAGCTGTGCGACCTGGCCATCACAAATTTTAGCTCGACGAAGTGGCTTATCGTCGCGTTGGATAATTCAGAGCAGCAAACGTGTGATGTTGATTCTAAATGTGAAGGGAAAAACCGGAGGACCCAGAGAAAAATCCACGCGACCATGGGGAGAGAGACACGCAAACTCCAAATATTCATCGGGGGGGGAGGGGATTGCTTATCTCGGACTTCAAGCGAGCACGCTGTGGCACAAAAGCCTTGGATTCGAATGAGCATCACAGCTAATGACATTCATGAAACAGCCCAGACGTTTAAAACCGGTACACAGTTTGCCTGAGAAAACAACCCCTACTGGATCAACATTGGCCTGCTAAGCCTACAAGCTGCTAGAGTAACAGTTATTTCATTTTGACTTGGAAAGACAGAAAGGAGGTTAATGTATTTATGTAACTTCATGTTACACACACACGTGTTTAGGGTGCAGTGCTGTATTTAAGAAGGCAAAACCTGTTTTGAGATGCTTTACCTTTTTCTATAAACAAATATTTTACAAATCGTGTTTATTCGTGTGGCGGTTATCATTCTTGTCTCAGTCTTGATATTTAATACATATAATTATGCAATGTACAATGCGCACACTATACCACGGACATAAATGACCTTGGGCTCTGAGTAAGTGGATAAAATGTTGTCGTGGGTCATTTTATCTTCTTAAGTTGGGACTCGGGCATGAGAAAGTGGCCACAATGTTCAACTTTCAGAAATAACTTTACACGATCATTAAAACTGTAGCTCTTTGTCAGAAGCGACCGGGCCACAAGCGATCGCTCAATGAAGTGGCTTATCATGTGGAAATTTATATCAGCCAAATACTCTGAACGCACATTCATTATAAATGTGGGTGGGGGGGGGGACCGGAGCATCCGGAGAAAAAATCCGGGCGACCACGGGGAAGAGAGACATGCAAACTCCAAATATACAGCAGGCGTCAAGGTTTGGATCGAACCCACGACCTCACGTACACACCAGGCGAGGGAGTTAACATCTCATAGCCACCGAGGCACCCCTTTAATTCGATGGAATTTTACGACGAGCAATGAAATCAGTCCATGCGCAGGTACCGGGTGGACTGTTGCGTCTCACGAGAGGTGGTGGTGGTGGCTTGTGGAGGCCTTCACCAAGCAGTGGATTGAGCGTGGCCGATGATGATGATGATTATTATGAAACAGCTGCAGTAATTGCCAGGCCGCTGTGACATTTAAATCAAATGCATCAATTATGATGTTTTTGTATTATTTTATTGTACTTGTTTACTCAGGACCGTCCCCCTGAGTCTCACGAGTCATCTTCAGGAGGGTCCTGCCAACTTTTAGTAGTGGAAGGGGGCAATGATTTCTGCTGTGTGTGATACCCATTGTCAACGGAACTGACATCACTCGTGACAAAAAAACACACCCACTCAACATCTTCGTCATAAACGCCGTGGCCTTAAAAGTAAATGTATACAATCACAATAATGTGATAAATACGTTTTAACCTTTCTGGCAATAAAGCAGGTGTTAAGATGTTCGAACACCAAAAAAAAACCTTTTTGCAAGGAATCAAGTTCCTGCATTAACCACGCTTACTTGTGAACATGCGAACAACCTCTGATTGGCCTATTCTCATTTTTCATACTTTGAT